TTATCGGTATTCGGTACGACCACCTCCCACCACCATGGCAATTGGGTGATAGTAGGAAGTTCACATTCCGCCGAGTCACCGCCGCCCCACTCCTGGATTTACCACCTCCAACACCAGTCCCCACCCACCGACCGGCCGAGCACAGGTCCCGGACACCCGGACACTCCGATCGTCCATCGGCCATCATCATTCATGATTCATCGTTGTTGGCACGTCTTTGCGACTTGTTAGACGTAATAACTGAACGAATATTTAGTTATAACGCAATACTTACTTTTGTATTTTCTCGTTTCCCACTTATTCCTATTTCTATCGCGTAGTTTCGTTCGAGTTCCAGACCTGGATCGTTGTGTGCTCGTGTGCGCGTGCGTACGTACATCTGTTCTGGTGACGGTTGTATACCAATATTGTGTGTTAATTATTACATTCTACCATTCTCGTCTATGACCGTGTGCGACTGACTGCGTTAAAGCGTGTACAGAATAATATGCGCTGTGCGTCGTGGGACGTTCGGTGGTTGTAGCTCGACGATTTTGGTCGAATTTTGGACGCTATTGTGACGTGAGTATTCCGCCGTACCTAGCGCAGAAATCAGAGTTGTGGCAATGGGGGACGAACAATGAATATAAATAAACAAACAAATGAAAAGGCGAAACCGACCGCCTGTTCTACGCGCGTGAACGTTGTAATATTAAGCCTTCGTTTGGTCGCCATTTCCCCGGTGGCCCGGTACCRACCTCGTGACATGAGTAGAACGCCCAGGTCGCGTCACCTACCGAATTTTGATCTCGAGCCCTCTCGGTAACGCGTGCCTACTTGCCCATCAATTGCTGTCGTGTCCGTGGTGTACCGATCATCGTCACATCTGATAACTTACCGTAAACCATATGAGTTCTGTGGACTTTAATCCCGCATCGCCTGTACTTAACGTCAAGTGGTACAGCTAGCCGCTAGTTATCATATTATACCTAGTTACTTTTCAATGTAACTAATTTCTTCCCCATTCAAATTTCGTCGTTTGTTTCCATTACTCTTAGAACTTTACTATGTTTCGATAACACCCATGATTGTTTTGACATGTCTTAACATCTACCAACATATATTTGAAATTGAGATTGGGAAGTGAATATATTATTTTGTTTTATTACAATTCTTAACAAGAGGAGAAATTGTTTTTCAATTTATACGACAACAAATTAATATTCATAGTATTAAACATTTTAATAATGTAATGCAACTATTTCATTATCAAATGTGAATAACAAGTAGGTACCTATTATTTTTATTGATTCTTAATAAATAATTCCTTTTGGCTTTCATTTAAGTTGTTTTTGTTTTCGGTCCTCACTGATATCAAATTTGAACTATGTCGATTTTCACCCAAAAATATTAATYACCTTCTACTTTAGGTAAATGAATTATATTTTTTTGTAAGAAATTACCTTTTGATAATACCTATTAATGATGTAAGGACTTCAAATAATGAAAGCATTTATGTTTTTTTAGTGTATGTATAAGATTATTTTAAATTTTATCTTGACATCTATAGGTAGATAGAAGATGAAAATCAGAGTAAATTTATATAATATGTAGGTATATATAAAAGTTTTGTTTCTTTAAATCCAATACATTTTTAGTGAGTTTTTAGTAGGTAATAAAGTTTTTTAATTAATAATTCATTACCTGGTGTATTAGGTAATTTTTTGTTAGTATGTACCTACTATAACATGATGCAATAGGCACATAATTATGCGTTGGATAAAGTATAAGCAAGTTTTCTGGAACATTTTATAATATTGATACTAATTTTTTTATTTTCTAGTTTTAATCTGTCCCTGTGAAGACATACAAATATATTTAAAATGTATGTAAGAATCTATCTCAAATAAAAAACTGCATATAATTCAAACAAACATCCACCTGTAGGCTGTAGTAGGTAAAAACATAATTTTTTTTTTTTTGATAATTCAATAACTACCTAGATAATTTGTTTTTTTAATAAATTCAAAGTTGGTACATAATATATTACAGTAAAATTGTTATCATCTGAGTGTTTTGTATTGATTTTTTTAATAAGGTCAAGGTATGATAATATTATGAAAACATAAGTAGTTAACTTATTATCTAAGTTATTATTATATATAACATTGATCACAAGTTTATTTTTGAAATGTTTATTATTTTTAATTTCCTACATACATAGTAGGTATTTATTTTATTTAACTTATTAAATGATTTCATGAACAAAAGTATTCCTATTGAACTTTTAATACTGGGTAACCTAATTTTTTTATAAATTGATTYATTTCTTAGTGGTTGAATAACCACTAGGCGCTTTTGTCTACTATTATAATATTAAAATACAAGTACATTTCTCAAGGAATTGCAGATAATAATAAAATTGTAATACATTTTTGTTTTACAAAAAAAAAAGCTTGTCACATCAATTAAAAAAATTTAAATCTCAACAATTTTAAAACTAATACTCTCGAGTATAGGTATTTTTATTATTTATTATTATTAACTGTACACTGATTTTAGTAGAAAAATGTTATACCTATACTTTTAAATGTAAAATTTGAGTTATCTAATTAAGTATTTGCTTATCTTTTATAAATTAAGATGTCATCTAAATAAATAACAGCATTTGATGTCCATAAGTCAAGTTTATTATTATTGTCTACTATACTAGGTATTGGATTAAAGTTATAAATGGTTATATATAAACATTAAACAATCATAATATTTTTATTATTTTAGAAATTTAAGGCAAAAAACAATTCTTTTTGTTCCAGCATTATACTTATTTAATTACAATTTTTTGACTTAATTCAATTTTTGCATATAAGACAAAAAAAAAAAACCGAGAAAAAAACTGATTAGGTATGCAATGATACTTTTTAGATTAAATACATTTCTCAAAATAATATTTAGTTATTTTTGATTATTTGCCATGACCTTGATATAAAAGTATATAAATTTACTATGAACCCAGATCTCTGCCAAATAGCTGTAACTACCCATATTACATTATACTTTGTTTTTATTTTAATATGAAATGYGTTKCTTTCTTTGTTTATTTGTCTATTAAATATATTCTTAATTATTTTAGAGTTGATTGTACGATTGTTCATAAAAGATGGCTGATGTTGATCCAGAAACTCTTCTGGAGTGGCTTAACATGGGCCAAGGTGATGAAAGAGATATGCAACTCATAGCACTAGAACAGTTATGTATGTTRCTATTGATGTCTGATAATGTTGACAGATGTTTTGAAGTGTAAGACAGTTTTTTTTTTTWAATTTAAAATTAAAATTAATTAATTAATAAAACCATTTTTTAGATGTCCACCTCGCTCTTTTTTGCCAGCACTTTGTCGAATATTTCTTGATGAAAGTGCTCCCGATAGTGTGCTTGAAGTAACTGCTAGAGCAATCACTTATTATTTAGATGTATCTGCTGAATGTACTAGACGTATTGTGGCAATTGATGGTGCATTAAAAGCAATTTGCAATCGATTAGTAATTACCGATATATTTTCAAGAACAAATAAAGATTTAGCTGAACAGTGTTGCAAAGTATGTTGATTCTTAACTGAGAATTCCAAGTATTTAATCCTTTTTAATGTTTTTTTTTTTTTTTTTTGATAATTTAGGTATTGGAACTAATATGCACTCGTGAAGCAGGTGCTGTTTTTGAAGCTGGTGGCCTAAGTTCTGTATTATTGTTCATTAGTGATGTCGGATCTTGTGTGCACAAAGATACTCTACATTCTGCTATGACTGTAGTTTCTAGATTATGTACTAAAATGGAACCTAATGAAGCATCATTACCAACTTGTGTTGAGTCTTTGTCTACAATGCTTAAACATGACGACTCTCATGTTTCTGATGGAGCTTTGAGATGCTTTGCTTCATTATCTGATAGATTTACACGTCGTGGAATTGACCCAGCTCCTTTAGCACAACATGGACTTTTAAATGAATTGATACTTCGATTATCCTCAGCTGCAGGACCTACAGTAACAAATATAGGAACACCTGGTAAATAATTTTTCTATTAATTCAAAAATATTTGATTATAATAATTCCTCTATAATTTTTTTTTTTTATAACAACAATAAATTATTTGTACTTACCATTTTCAGGTCTAAATGCAAACAATTCAACTACCGAGGTTAAATCTTCTCAATCCATATCTACGGTTATAAGCTTGTTAACTACTCTTTGTCGTGGATCTAAATCAGTTTCGCATGTATGTCTTATTTTCTAAAAACTGTATTTTAAACACATTTTATCTTACAGTTAACTTTTAAACAGTAGTTGCAATAATAAAGTTAAATTTCATCAAAATGCAAATTGAATAAATAATACATTCTAAAAGTATAAAGATAGTTTACAAAAAACTTTTTTTTAGGATTTATTTAGATCTAACTTAGCTGATGCAATTGAAAAAGCTCTTAAAGGCGATGAAAGGTAATTATTTGAATTTTATATTTTTATTCTAAATAATTATTTTCAATTGGTTTATTTATTGATATAAATAATTTATACTAATTTATGTTTAGATGTTGTTTGGATACAATGCGTTTAGTTGATTTATTACTAGTCTTACTTCTTGAAGGACGTGATGCAGTATCATGGAGTACAGTAGCATGTACAAGTAATAATCCTTTATTACCAAAACTTCGACGTTTAGATTCTAGTGCAGAAAAATCTCAGCGTCATTTAATTGATTGTATCAGAAGTAAAGACACGGAAGCATTGATGGAGGCTGTAAATTCTGGTGGTATGTCAAATTGAATCTACAATTGATTTTTTATATATTAATTATATAATTTTAATAATTCTCAGCAATTGACGTAAATTTTGTGGATGAAGTTGGTCAGACTTTACTTAACTGGGCTTCTGCATTTGGTACTCAAGAGATGGTTGAATATTTGTGTTCTAAAGGAGCTGATGTCAATAAAGGTCTCAGGTCATCATCATTGCATTATGCCGCTTGTTTTGGAAGGCCATCCATAGCTAAAATTCTTCTAAAAAATGGTGCTAATCCAGAACTTCGCGATGAAGAGGGGAAAACACCATTGGATAAGGCACGAGAAAGAATGGATGAAGGACATCGTGAAGTTGCTACCATATTGGAATCTCCTGGTTAGATATTTAATATTTAGTTCTCATTTATTTAAATAGTATTAACACTAAACATTTTTTTGTAGAATGGTTGATGTCTTCCAAAAATGAAATTGTTCTGTCAAATGAATCTAAAGAACCAAAAGGTGATCCYGAAATGGCTGCGATTTATCTTAAACGCTTAATGCCAGTTTTTTGTCACACTTTCCAATCAACTATGCTTCCGTCAATTAGGTATTTTTTTTAAATAAATAAAAAAATAATCTTATTTTGAATTCATTAAATTTGCAAACCAATTTTTAGGAGAACTTCTCTTTCTTTAATTAAAAAAATGGTTCACTACATTAAACCAGATTGGCTTGAGGATATATGTAGACCTGATTGTCCAAATAATCTTGCTCCTTTGTTGGTTGAAGTACTTGCTACTGTTCTTGATAATGAGGTAATATTTAAATAAAATTGGGTTATATATACAATATTTATATTTTATTTTCGAATATTATATTTTTATATTTTATTGKTTTATTTTTACATTCATTCTCATTAGTTTTTTAAAATTATTAGCTATTTTATATTCTATATAGGAAATTAAAATGCTTTTATTTTGCCAAATTAACTTTATTCCAGGATAAGACTTGGCTGTTTTACTGTGACATGAGTGGTGAGAGCCAGAAATATTTGCCTCGAAAACTCTACAAGATGTTAATTGTTAAAAAAAATTATAAATTTTTGATGGTAAAATAACTAATTTTTTTGCACGCGTCATAGACAATTTTAGGACTATGYATATTATATAATACATTTAATTTAATGATTGATTTTTCATAATAATATTATGTTTAGTAAATCTTAAAATTGGTTATTTTACATACAAAGTTTTTAATTTATATTAATGAATTATATTTATAGGGATATCTTTCTGACATAAATAAAGCAACTATGTAAGTGCCTTGCCCTCCCATTCTTTAGTGTAATACCAATATGGATTAATATGACCTTTGAACTCCATTAATTGTATTTAAAAATTAAATCTTTTTTAAAGTAATCTAGTGTATTAATAATAATTGAAATTAGTAATTCTCAATTTCTGAAGGAAGAAAATTTTTATTTCAAATATCTACAATAATTCTATTATACCTATTTATTTTGATTATAGAATTAACAGAATTGTATACTTGTATCAAAAAATTGATGAAACTAAAGATTTTTTTTATTAAAATAAAACAAATATCTTAAGTCTTAAATCAAATGCTATAAGTAATAAATAGTAGAATCCACTTGATTGGGGCGTATGGATATATTTGTCTTAATGTGATGTCACAATTTAACAGATTTACTGTWTATATAAAATAAGTTAGGAGGTTTGAGTGATTTGACAGCTGTAATGAAAGGTGTCCAATAACGCTACTTCAACWGAAATAAAATTCAGCTATAAATAAAGTTTATTTTTTWATTTTACGTAAAGCCAATTGTTATTTTAATTAATGGTTATGGTTTTTAATTTATAAAAGAGTATTTGTATGCCTAATATTTAATAGTATAATAGTGTTAATATATAATTTAGTAAGGGAATTCGATGCTAATTGATTTTAAAAATTTTATTTTTGGCTATTTTCTAAGTATGTGTGTGCTTAGAAAGTGATCATTATATTCTGTTCAGAACAAGATTGTTTCTCCTCTGTGACCAGTTTTTATCCCTAAATATTAGTTGCTCTCCCTTCTCCCTCCCCTCAATAACTTGACTTGCGAGGCCACTGTTTTAGAACTAAGCCACTACACTGTGCAAAAGTTAGCTATTGAAATATTATCACTTTCTGAATGAAGTATAGATATTATGTAAACTCTTAAGTCTAAAGTGTGAAAGAATTAGCAGAGTACTCATACGTGTGCATTCATATCAATATAGCATAATGAATATTCATTATTTTTGGTAATMGTATCAATATTTTTCCAATTGTAGCATTAATTAACTTAAYATAGTTATTCCTTAAAATTTCTGAAAGGTTTAAAAYAATTTTAATCTCAAAAGTAATTTTATAAAGTTTTATTTGCTTACCACTAAAGTAGTCTACATGCTGCACAATTGGTATAAGTCTATTTTTATAAAAAAAAATACCCAGGATCGAATCCCCTTTATAGATATTTGCAAGTGTCTTTAACAATATATTAATCCTTGCATTTTTATCTTAAATATAATGTGTTTAATAAATTTTGATGTCACTCTTTTGATTATGCATATTTAAAAATTAAATATTTTTTAACAGGAGGATGATGATGGACATGTCATTGCTTTACAAACCATTTATGATCTTTTGAATAAGTGTCAAGATACATTTCTTGACCATTTTGCACGTCTAGGAGTATTTTGTAAAGTACAACAACTTATTGGACCTGATAATAATCCAGAAAAAGATAATGCCCTGCAAATTGATTCAAAAAATGTATGTGYTTTAATTTTATCTCTTAAAAACAATTTTTTAATTGTTTTGATTAAAAAATCTARTAAAAACAATTAAATTAGTGTCTTATGTAAACAAATATTGCTCTGTAATTTTTTACACATAATATATTTTATATTAATTTATTATTCAGTTTCCTATTGAGGATGCTAAAGAAATATTGCCAGGTCATGCATATCATTGGAAAGATTGGTTTTTCTGTCGTGGTCGAGATTGCCTTTATGCATGGAATGACTATGTTGTATTGGAGTTGTCAAATGGCAGTAATGGTTGGTTTAGATTTATGATTAACGATAAATTGTCTACAATGTATTCCAGCGGCAGCCCTGAAGGACAACTTGATACAAGTAAATTTTTACTTACAAATTATTTTCTTTTACACTTTATAATAAGGCAATATGTATATATAATATATATTTTAAATTCATCTTAAATTTGATATAGATAAAACTAGAATTTCTGATCAACCATCTTTCGATGGTAAATATACAATTTAATTGACCTTATAAAGTTCAAATAATTTCATATATCATAAAAAAATTTWAATAATATTTTCTTTAACAATTTGAACATTGATGGTTTGTACTAATTGTAAAATTTKAAATCGCAATCAAATTTAATTCTCTGTTGCTTTTTACATTTGTTTTGTGTTCTYAATTAATACATTGTGATATYATTGGTATAACTTAATTTTGCACTTTAGTAATTACTTAATATTGAGAACGTTCTGATTTTAAATTTTAATAATAGATATTAACTTGTATTGTATAATATTGATCGTTTTGATTATATGAAAATAACTACAGCTTTATGTAATGTTTATGACTACATTAACATTATATTTTTGTTATTTTTAGAAAACAAAACTGAATTCATTGAAAAATATTTAAAAGCCAAAGTGTTTGTTAAACTTAACACAGTAAGTCAACCAATTTTAAGTTCTCCTGGTTTAAATAGAATAGCAGTTGGTAACTGGATTCTTATTTCAAAAAAAGATTGTGAACTAAGCATACAAAACTCTGATGGTTTGCAGGTAAATATATTTTCTAGTTAATTGTTTATTAAAGATTTATGTTAGTACAATATTTATTTAATTGTACAGCAAATTACAACACTAATATATGGAACCAATGGATTTTCTTTTCAATCTAATCGTGGCAATCAACACATGTTTACTGCTTTGATACCACTTAAAAGTGATTTTACCTCTGGTTGGGAAACAGTTAAAAAAGCAAATATAGTAGCCGCAACAGCCGAAAGTGTTGGACAAAAGGTTAGTTACTTAAAGCCTCTTTATTTTTATTTATTTAAACAATTGCTAAATTAATTTTTTAGATTCGTAAACAAGCACAAGAAATATTTGATACATTTTTCAAAGCAGCCCAGGCTCAGCCAAGAGGTGTAGTTGCAAGATTAAGTAAAATTGTTAAAGCCATTGAATTAGCTATTCATAATCAAGTATGTATATTTATTATTTGATAAATGAAAATCTTTAAACCCTAGTAAATAGTTGCATTTGTATAATAATTTTGTATGCTAAGTGCTTGCCTCTAAATTTGATAAAACTTAGTAATACAAACCTCTTCATTTCCCATGTTAAATATATAATATGTTTGAATTTCTCAGTCTTCTGTGATCAAAGACATCTCCAATAAAGAATTTTGGGCATCAGCTCTTTGCAAGGCAGTTATAGACTTGAAAAAATTATTAATGGAAGATGAAGGCAGTGTTTCAGCATATGAAATATATAGCAGTGGTTTAGTTGAAGTTTTATTGAAACTTTTAACAGTCAATAATCATGAACAAGGTGATGAAGCTATAGAATTACARAAACTTAGGATCGACATTTTTGTTAAATGTTTTAAGGTAAAAAATTATTTTATGTATTTCAATTATTTGGTCTAACTTATTTTTAATTGTTAACTAGGAAAATAAAAATGAAAAAGGATTAGAGACTTGTGCTTCTGTGTTAGTGCAAAAACTGATATCTGTTTTAGAATCTATTGAAAGATTACCTGTGTACTTGTATGAATCACCTGGTGCTTTTCATGGATTACAAGTATGATAATATTAGATAATACTACTGATCTTTGTAAAATTATATTGTGAAGTCAAAACCTTTTTATTTTAGATATTGTCAAGACGTATTAAATTTCGTTTAGAAAAAGCTGTAAAAGAAACCACTCTTGTTGATCGAACAGGTAGAGGCTTAAGAATGGAGCCACTAACAACTGTGCATCAACTTGAAAAACATTTATTAAAAATGGTTGCAAAACAGTGGTATGATCATGAACGCATCACATTTAATTATGTAAAGAAACTCAAAGATAAAAATAATATACCAATGAAGTTCAAACATTATTATGATTTTGATAAAAATGGTGTCTTATATTGGATTGGAACAAACGGAAAAACTACGGTAGATTGGGTTAACCCTGGTCAATATGGATTAATGCTAGTTCAGTCTTCGGATGGTCGTAATTTACCATATGGTCAAGTAGAAGATATTCTAAGTAGAGATTCTGTTGCGATTAACTGTCACACTAATGATGATAGCAAGGCATGGTTTTCTATTGACTTAGGATTATTTATAATTCCAACTGACTATACTCTTAGGCATGCTAGAGGTTATGGCCGTTCTGCTCTACGAAATTGGTTATTCCAAGTAAGAGAATCATCTTATATTTTATATTAGTATTTTTAATTATTATAAATTTTAAACAGATGTCTAAAGATGGTACTAATTGGACTACATTATCCACGCATGCTGATGATACAACATTGAATGAACCAGGAAATACTGCTACTTGGTCCATAGAAATAAATGATAAAGAAGAGACTCAGGGTTGGCGGCATGTTAGAATACAACAGAATGGTAAAAATGCATCAGGTCAAACACATTATCTCTCATTATCTGGTTTTGAGATCTATGGAAGTGTTACTGGTATATGTGAAGATTTGGGTGAGTTTTAATATTTCAAAGTATTATTTATTCATAAAATAAAATAAAATTATATACTGTAGGTAAAGCAGCTAAAGAAGCAGAAGCTAGTCTAAAACGCCAAAGGCGTTTGTTCAAGGCTCAAATGTATAAACAAATGGTGACTGGTGCTCGAGTTATGCGTGGTATTGATTGGAAATGGAGAGATCAAGATGGAAATCCACCTTGTGTTGGAACTGTCACTGGAGATGTACATAATGGTAAATTGTATTTACAATTATTTTATTATAACTATGTGAATTTTAAGTCTTAAATTTAAGACTACTATTGGGGCTAGGTTGGATAGATGTTGTGTGGGATCATGGAGTTACAAACTCATACMGAATGGGTGCTGAAGGAAAGTATGATCTACGGCTAGTCAATGAGCCCCAAACTACATCTGCCTGTATGTGATGAATATGATAGTTGTGTATAATCTCAAAAACTTTGCGAGTTTTGTGTTTTTATTTGAAGCATGCAGAACCTTTTGTACAAATGTTTAGTTAAAATGTATCCTCTAGAACTTAGATTATCATATAAGCGTATATACTCTGTTTAAAATATGATTTTAGTTTGCACCATACCATAACCAGTGCTCGAATTAGAAAAAAAATATGAAAATAGAATGAGTGATACACCTTTCCAATTAAGCACTGTTAAGGCTAACTTGTTGAACATAATATTAATGTTTATATATATCTTTAATAGAAAACTGTTGTGTTAACCGCATGTAAATTATTTGCAACCATCAAAAAAATCTTAAATACCAGATTATTAACTATACATTTTTATTTTGATAGCTTCAAAGATGTTCAAAAACATTCCAAATACAACCTTATCTAGTATCATGACAAGAATGTCAAGTTCCACTCCTATTTTACCAGAAGCATCTAATGATAATAACTCTGTTGCTTCTGTAACTAGTACAGATCAAATATCTTCTGCAGAGAATTTGGCAGTAAAGGTATGCTGTTGAAACTAATTATTATTTATCTATTAAATATTAATTTATTTGTGTTTTTTTTTAAATGTATTGTATATATTATATATTTAATTAAATATTAAATATATTATAGCAAGCTGCTCAACAATTCACTGATAGCATAATGTCAGTTATGAGAATGGAACCCTCTGCAGTTACCCCAGTAACTTCAAATTCATTAGATAATTCACTTCGAATAGTAGTCCATCCAACTCCTTCTGTTGATCTCGCCACAATTGTTGAATCTACGTCAAATGGTTTGCAAATGATATATAAATAATTTGAATATGCTATTTTATCCCTATTATTTTTTTTTCTCAGATGAAACTCAACAAAATATTGAAAATAATAAGAAAAACAGTACCTGCTATGAAGAAGAATTTTTACCTGCTTTGGGAAGAGTGAAACCAACATACAGGCGTAGTTCTGTTACCAGTCTAGTGCACACATTGCAATCCATTCAAATTGATACACCTCCTAACAATAAAGTATGTTATTTATTTATTTTTAATGTTCTGTATGTTGTTTTAACTTAAAACTAAACATATTATGCTCAATATTAAATTTATGTTTTAGGCAAATTCAAAAGATAAGCCAATAATAATTATGCATCATAATTCATCAGATGCTTCCAATACCCAGACACAAGATCTATCTACTGATACTTTAATAAACAATGCAAATAATTCAGCTTTTAATACAGAAATATGTATTCCTAACAATTTAGGTATTGTTATTATTTAAAAATACTTAAAACTAAACTCTGTTCATGTTAAGAATATACCATTAAACTAGCTATGAACTAACTCATCTTGTTCATACGTCCCCTCTATAAAACAGACACCACCTATTCAAAGCGATCGCCTGGGTGTTCAGGCAGTATTTGACGGCTCAGTCTTTGTGTACGAAAGCAGTTTATTCTTAGTGTGAACAGAATATATCAATGTACTGATGAACTATTTTAAAAACCTGGTAACTGTTCATTAGATTTAGAAAAAGAAAATAAAAAAGAAGAGAACCGAAATAATTCTTCAAATCACATGAGTGTTAGTGTGCCAAATTTAGCATCTAATGCACCACCTAGATCACAAGGAGATATTCCATTACAAAAACCTTTAGCTGAAACATATGCTCCATATCAAAAGTACAGGAATTTTGATCGAAACAATAGTCATAATAATCAATCTCAAGTCACTAACCATAATATGCCTCAACGTGTACCAACTTCAGTATCTAGTCTTGTTCGTTTGGCTCTATCTACTAATTTTCCAAGTAAGTAATTTTAATAACAGTATCTGGTWATAGTTACTCGAGGATAAAAAAAGAAAAATACAATAAATTAACGTGTTGACTGCCATGCGGCCGCCAGCATCCGTATAAAAATAATTAGGTATTGATAATTTTTAGACCGCCGGCTACTGCTCCATATCATTTATAGAAACCCTTACGGCCGTGGCTGCCGTAAATTAATTTGGATTTATATTATCAACTTTTCAGTGATGTAGTGGGAATAATTGCAATTTTTTATATAATAAACATAATTTTGAGCATATTTTTATTTTTTATTTTTTTGTATTAATAAATAATTATTATTATATTATAATAATATTTATTATGTATTTTTAATTTTTTTAAATTCAATAGTATATTATATACAAATACCAATTTATAATGACACTGGAAAATGTCCTTGGCGTATCCATGATAAATATTCTTGAGGCTGCCAACGGCCGCATGGCAGTTAACATGTTAAAAAAAGTGTATTGATTTACATAATTTATCTTTCCAAGTATATAGCAGTGATCATTACACTTAATCGATCAAACCTTCAATGAAAACTATATAAAACTACYTGGTATACAGCAGGCTTATACAATGCCATCAATATTGTACTTTTACTCATACATTTAAAAAACAATATATTTTATGATACATTTTTCACTGAACTTAATTCACATCAATTATGGGTCTATTAATAACTAACTAGTTTTCCTTAGTATTGTAAAACTACAAAAAAAAACTTATCTCTCTAATGTKCCAATAAAACCAATCATCATCCACTCATTATATTAAACCAGTAGTTCCCAACCTTTTTACCACCATATACCACTTCGACTATATTTTATAGGTCGCGGACCACCTAAATTTTACGAAAACTAGGAAGACCTTTTTTTTAACAAGAATACACAAAATTTATCAACTGCCTCACTTTTACGAATTAGACATTATATACAATAAGAATGAGTTATTGCYTTCTTCGTTGGAAGTCCAGAAAAAACAGTTACAAATTTTGTATTACGCCCCAAAGGAAAATTTTTTAAATTTTGTAGGTATGGCTCGCGGACCATAGGTTGGGAACCACTGTAATTAGACTAATTAAAAATATTTTAAATTGGTGTTTAGATTTAAATTAAAAATAAGTATCAAGCAAATAT